TCTGTTTTCACGACAAACCTGATTTTTTAGTTCATTAACAATCCGGTTATTAGATGTAACAAATTCCAGTGATATTCAGTTGAAAATTGAATCGAAGGATAAATTTGTTATTGACGAATCGAAAGTTCATTCGCTTGTTTTGAACACATAGAGAGAGAGAGGGGAGAAGTTGCGTTGAATGGCCTTTCTGTCGCGGAGCGAGTGATAGTGAAGCAGGACAAGTTTCGAACAACGTCGACGTGGCTTCCGTTGTTATCCCACTTGTCCGTAAAGTTTTCCATCGGTCAGTAATGCCTCTCCCGAGTGTTTCATCAACGTTTAGCTTCAAAATGAAATCTTTTTTTTTTAGGTATATACATAACAATAAATACAATATTCATTTATTCAACTGAAATTCGATTTTGAATTTTCGTACTGAGGAAAAAGTTACTAAAAAAAATTAATTTTGAGATTAAGATGGGGCGCGATGTTGAACCATCGGAACGTTGATTCAGAGAAATAAACGTGAGAATAAGAAGAGGGTCGAGTTCGCGGTGCGATAAGTCAGGGTCAAAAGGGCCGCGTGTGAGTCAAAGAAAAGAAAAAAAAAAAGAAAAGGGTGAGAGAAATAAGAGAGAGGGAGGAGATATTTGGAACGTTCGTACACAATTCAAGGTAAGATATAGCCGGGCGAAATAACCGAAGGGAGCTTATGCTCATTTCAGCAGACCATACCTGGAACCAGCGGCAATTCCGTATCGGAGTCAAGATCGCATTGTCACCATCTTTCCTTTCTTTTGCCTCCCACTTTTCAACCTTTGTCCTTCATCCCTTCGTTTTCTCCTTCTTTTTTTTTTTACCTCGGCGAATAAGTCGCGATAGTATAAATCCAAGCCTAGCATACAATGCAGTGCGCGCTCACATAAGGCTACAGGGTATTTTAGCAGATCGATGCTTCTCTTATTCCTTGCGTATACGATCTTTACCTACCCACCTTTCAACCCACCCGTACATACCTATCGGTAAGAATATATTCAAGGAGCAACGACGACGATTCTCGAAGCGAGAAAATTAATGTTCCGATAAAAGACCTTTTGATAAGAAACCACATTTTGATAGATTTGTTGCCTCGGACCATAGTTGTTCTACATTTTTTTTTTTTTTTTTTTGCATACTATTCATACATTTATACTAAATACTAATTATTATATAATTAATAATTCTAATTGCAAATAATAAACATTAAAATTTAATTACCATATTTCTTGATAACTTGGATTTAGAATTGAAATGTGCTCAAAGGATAGATTTATAGATAAATAATTTCCTATCCTGATTTAGGCGAATCTGGACGAGCAACCAAGTCTATATTCCCAACCAATGCTTGATTAAATCACGGATGAGCCGTCTAGTTCGCGTTCTCAACTGAGTTGTGAAACTCAACACCTATTTGCAATCAATACTGTGTGTTGCACAGAAATAGGGAAATTAGCTTATCACAGACAATAGCATTAGTTGCATGATAGTGAATTTTATACTCAAGATTCAGATATCCACGAAGAAAAATACAATTGCTATTATCATTGAAAAAATAGTATTATTGATTCAAGAAAATCATGTATCCAACTAATTTTTCTGATACAAGAAAATTTATTTAAAAATAATAATAATTTTGGGTATTTATATGAAAACAGAAAAAAAATTGGTGAGAAACACCTTGGAAGCGTCAAACTTGGCCCTGTTATAAATAAGAATGGCCACTGTTCCCATGTAACATATCAGGGCCATTGGCAAAGGGAATTCGGCACTTTGGCCCGATTACAGGGGAAGGGTCTTTCCTTTTTTTTTTCGTTTCGATTGCCCTCCTAACGGAAACCGGCTACAGAGTAGAACGAAGACACGCATATAACGCGATCTCCACGCTTCTGCTATACATATACATACATAAAAAACCCCTCAAAACATCGAGTATACCATCATCTTGACATGAGAGATTAGATCGTGCACAGGTGCATCTGCCTATACGAAAATTCTTTGTTCTTTTTGCACAACCAACGAAACACGAGCCCTTTCCCTATTTCAGCAATGATCTTATCTTGCTCACGGAAAACGTCGTTTGGCACCAACCATTTACTTTCAAGATTGCCGAACATTCATATTTCAGTTTTTTTTCGCCCCCTTTCTTCATAAGTAGGCCCCTCACAAAATTGTCATGCATTTGAAAAAAAAATGATGCATAAATATTCGAGAGAATTTGATAGAAATTTATACAGAAAAGGTGTTTTAAGAAAACAATAAAACATTTTGATAAAAATTAGTATTATCAAAATACAAAAATAGAGGAAATGTGTGCTTTGAACAAAAACTATTTTTTGAATAAAAATTCGAATAATTTCAATCCACGTTATATGTATAGAAATAGGAGGGGTGATAGAAGTGGACTGGGGTTGCCTCTTCGATCCCTCGCTCTTCTCTCTCTCTTTGTAGACACCAACGGTGGCTACTGGTTCTGAATGTTACGTAGTTGGCAGCGGTAGAGATGCAGGGTGCTGACGTTTTGCCAATAAACGTTTCAGAGTCGACGACGACGACAGTACTGTGTTCTTTTTGATGAAACGCTTTTGAAGCCCAAAAAAGGTCGTACAGGGGAATTGAAATCACAGATTTTCTCGTTCAATGTGTTTACCTAACTAGTTATACACTTTGGCAGGTCATACAAAAAAAACTACTCTCTAAAATTTGAATTAATGAGATTTCACTGATGAAATAGTTGAAATTTAGCAATTCATCGTTTTAGTAATAACTTCATACAAAATAATTATATGAAATCATTTATATTTAACTGAAAAATTACTAATTACAGTCAAATGTGTATTACCGATTAATGATAATGCAGATTTGACTCTTCTGTTTTACCAATTACTGATAATGCAGATTTAATTGTTCTGTTTTACCGATTAATGGTAATGCAGATTTGACTCTTCTGTTTTACCGATTACTGATAAAACAGCTTTTATTGTTCTGTTTTACCGATTACTGATAAAACAGCTCTTATTGTTCTGTTTTACCGATTACTGATAATGCAGATTTAATAGTTCTGTTCTACCGATTAATGGTAATGCAGATTTGACTTTTCTGTTTTACCGATTACTGATAAAACAGCTTTTACTGTTCTGTTTTACCGATTACTGATAATGCAGATTTGACTATTCTGTTTTACCAATTACTGATAATGCAGATTTAATAATTCTGTTTTACCGATTAATGATAATGCAGATTTAATTGTTTCAATCAGTAAATTTTTTTTCCTAAGCATTTTTCATCTCTTTTTTTTGAGAGGAGAAATGTTGCAGACTGGAAAACAAAAAAGATACTATCTCTCGGGAGATAAATGTGGAGATCATCGAAAATAGAAATGTCGAAAATCTGAACAGCTCGCTCTGAAATTGTGGGCAGAAAACGGAAATTGGCGATTTCCCTCGGCATTCTCCCAAAAGGTCCGACAATGTCGGCATCTTATATACGATTGCAATGCTGATCTTCCTCTCTTCTCTCTCTCTCTCTCTTTATACTTGTTTCCAGCAGTCGTCTAATGAATGGTCAGAGTCTTTTCCCTTAGGGCAAATCTCTTGGGACTTGTTCGTGTTCACTTAATTCTTCGTTCGACGCGTCGTTCTCAATGCTCAGTACCACGTTCAATTCCTCTCTCTCACTCTCTCTCTCGTCGATATACAGAATGGCTCCTCGTGAATTCCACGTGAGTGTTCGTGGAATGCTATTTGCTTCAAGAAGGGTTTTGTGGTAGGTAAATAGGCAGAAACGACACGATCAAGTGCTGTTCAACGGCAATTTCGTAGTCATTACTTGGTTCGCAGTAGCAGAAAACGTCATCAACGGAAATAAGGACAATCTTATTCGCTCGCTGAGATATATACTTAAAAATAGCGCAACTTGCTCATGCATCCATATAAACAAAAGCAACAAATAAAACGCAGTTGCATCTGCGTTTTAAATTAACTCTATTTACCTAAAATATTCTATTTCGAGAATGTTAATAGAATTTCAAAAAAAAAATATCAATTCTAGATAATGAAATTAATTTTAGAGCCTATTATTATTATTATATATTATTTGAAGAGAAATTTTCCTTTTGTAATGATTTTGTTTTTAGAATTTTCCAAAAACAATACCATATCATTTCTTTGTATATATGTAATATGTATCAAAATTCGATTTCGCACACGTTCGTGGTTATTTGAGCAATAATGCACTAATAATGGAAGGTAATTAATTGCTTGCGGCCGAACTTGCTTAAATAACTATTAAGCCGTTGCTATCGGATGGATGAAGTCTGTGCACCCATCACATATTCCATGGCCTTTACAGATTATTTCCACTGCTTTGTTGCCATGCTGTAATATTATGTGGGAAACTAAAAGCCGCTCAATAATCCGTCTATCAAATTCTGTCCTACTCTGGAAGGCAATGGAATATCCTCTCTCTCTCTCTCTCACACACACACTCTATATACTGTAATTCTAGCAAAAGCTTTCAGGATATATTTCAATATTTTCCTTCCTTGTAAACGATATTTCTGTATAGAGAAAAATTTATAAAATCCAATTATTTCTAATTTCGATTCATCCATTGAAAATTCAATTTCACTATTACGAATGACACAAAAAAAAAAAAAAAATGTATCGTTTTTTCTTCTTCTTCGTGTTTGTTCATAACAAGCTCATTGATTACTCACTTGGGCTTCAGGGAATAAAGTTTCTCGTTTCCGTGAAATTCTCGAAAAACACTGGAACATCGTTTTCGATGCCTCGGAAACGTAACACGATACGTCTCGTATCTTAGAAAGACATACAACCCGATCGAAAAACGTGTATTCAACGACAACTCCGTTATTTTTCTTTCCCTCACTGTGATGTTGATACAGTCGAATTTTTTACAGTCGTCGAAAAAAGAAGGTGATCACGAAAAATCGTTTAAAAAATAAAAGAAAAGAAAAAACATACCCTTTTTTTGTGATGCTTTTGGATTCTGTCTTCTCAAACTTTCATTTCTGAAAATAAACAAATGTTTCTTGTAAATTAAATTACATATGAAAAAAATTAAACAGAAAAAGTTTAGCAAAAATTAACGTAAAATCTATTGTTGTTTGAGTTTAAGTTTTTTCTGATTTTATTTATCTAAATAGAGATTTTTAAAAATAATCTAAATTTACATAAATAAAATGAAATTTTCGAAAAAATAAATTACATTAGCATATAAATAAAATTATTTTTCAAAATGTGAGAAAGATCAGATTTTGTTATCTATTGAAAAGAATTTTTGATATTGTATTCCTTTTGTATAAATATATATATAGAATAAATTCCAGAGGTTATCGCGGTGTGTATGTGTGACGAATGTTTTCTATGATTTGCATCACATGACGGTGAACAAAGAAGACATCGATCAACTTTTTCGATCTTGTGGCTTTTCTAAGACGTAGGCGAACCAGACGTTCACAGATAGGAGTGCATTAGCTTCCTGCCCGCATGATCGATCGTCGCTTTATAACCAGAGAGAGAGAGAGAGAGAGAGAGAGAGAGAAAGATAGGGAGAAACAGAAAAGAGAAAGAGATATACACAGGATTTGTTCTTGCATGTACCCAAGGCATATTTATAGCAAAGAAACCCTTTTCTCAATTAGGTACGATCTCGCGACGATCGTTTCAAACGATATAAATGTATCGATTGCCTCTTCTTGTCTCGTGTCTTGGTTTTAGCAGCTCGAATTATATCAGCATAAATCTTTGATTTAATTCGCTCCAGTCTATTTATCGGTAATTCGATACTGCAGTAGGGAGAGAGAGTGAGAGAGAGCGAGATGGAGAGAGAGAGAAAGGGCTGTACGAGAATATCACTGCTACTGGCAGGTGTCAATTAACGCTATGAACGTAAATTCTGAATTACCTGCGAACGTCACTCTCATCGTTCTCTCCCCGACAATTTTAAACTAGGTATTGGATTTCCCCCCCCCCTTTTTTTTGTTCATCGATAAAACTAGAATTCTCCTTTAACTATGCATTTGATTTAAACAATTATAGTTTTTTTGTAATGTCTCGACTATTGATAGTTCATGTCTATAATTAATAGAATCTGTTTTATATTCGAACATAGAGAAATATAAATATAAAGAAATTGTAAAATAATAAAAATTTCAATTTTTATCATAATATATAGAATAAATTCTATTTTAGAGAGAAAAAAAAATGGAGATTTTAATTCGCAGATTGATTATTGTTTCTATCAATATATGAATATAGACACGGTGTTTACTTGAACGAGACCAGAAATTGATTTTCCTTTCAACACGAGTAATTTCGTAAAAGAGGTTGTAAAATTAAATAAAAAAAAAAAAAAAAAAAGCACTCGACGAAATGTCAGTCCTGTACTATCGGTCATCGATCACTCTCTCACATACAAGAGAGAGAGACACACCGGAAACTGATATTGACAAGGTTGACTAGTTACATCGGAAAAAGTGGCATTTCACGTGTATAATCGTTTTCCACTTGCTTTTTTCTCTCTCTCGTCGTACACATATTGAAATTAATTCCTCTCTAAATAAAATATCGTATATTTATATAGATGATTCTTCAGAAAATTGAACTAATTTCAATTTCTTTTATTAATTTCCATTTAATTTATATATTTTCTATTTATTATTATTATACCTAAAGAGATAAATAAACTGGAATAATCTCAATTTATAGTGAAATTTATAGTGAATCAACTGAAATATTTATAATATGTAATTAATTAAATTATTCACGGAAAAAAATAATTACGACAATCAAGTCCAAAAATTTGTACAAAATCAATTCATACATTATTTATAGTATAAGGAAACAAAAAAATATTTATCTACATTTCTTGTCTATCCTATAAAATTTTATCGCCTTTCGACGATATATTAACACAAACATGTCCGACACCCGTTTGTCTAGAATTCATCGTAAATCGATATAAACGTAATTAGAGCTCAGAAAAGGATTAGCTGAATTAGAAATCTCGCGCTTCGCAACGAAGCCTCTCGAGTCCAACAAACCAGAGTCTCGGAGGACTTTGATTTATGCGTCCCAACGGCGCTTCACGGTTTGAGCTTGGCAAGAATATGGAGAGAAGGAAAAAGAGAGAGAGAGAGAAGGCAAAGACGCATAGCTTTCGAAACTACCGTTCACGTAAAACGCTGTTTCTATTTCTCCAAAGAATTCACCTACTATAAATTATCATGGAATTTCATTTCTACTTTTCATTTTTTTTTTTCCAACAATGAGGAAATTGAAAATAGCGAAGAAGAAAGTTTCTTATTTTTTACTAACCTTTTTATAAAAATACAGGAAATTTTTTTTTTGAAATTAAAAAAAAATGTGAATTTTTAAATTGAAAATGATTTTCAAGTGGAAACTTGGAAAAATTGAAAAAATAATAGACATCTGGTGTGTGTTCTCTTCTTATCGGGTGAAAAATTTAACATATTCCAAAGTGCTGGATTATTTTAGTCATTTCTAAGAATACAGTAACTACATTAGTCGTTTCTTTAAACGCATATCCATGTAAAGACTAAACAGAGAAGCAATCTGGTGAATATCAAGACACTTTAGATCTCACTTTTTCTCCAGAATTCAAGTTTCTTTTTCCGGCAATATCCTCCGAGGGGCGTTTTTTTTTTTTTCACTGAACCTATTTATCTAATCTCGCAAACCCATTTCATTTCTTCTACACATTGGCTTGTAACATATCAATGCACCTCCTAAAAAAATACAATTCCTACACCGGAATCAAAAATGGTTCTTTCTTACTCCGAATAAAAAAAAAAAAAATAATTTCATTTCTAACAAAAATTACCAGAATTGAGACAAAATTCTAGTAACATTATTATATCTCCCTACATCCTCTATTTTTAAACCTCGTCCTCGAATGCTTTTTATCTCAGCCGATTTCACGCAACCCTTTTTTTTCCTTTGTCGGCAACAATGCAAAAATAATTATAAAAAAAAAGAATTCTCCCAATTCCTGCTTCTGAATTCACCTACAAGAAAAAAAAATAATAAAGGGCCATAATTAAATATAAATATAGAGGGAAATAATAATTAGACGTAATTTTCATTTAATAATATTTAATTACAAAACACACAACCGGAAGATGATTCTTTTCCTTGCATGAAAGAAAAAAAGAGACCTCCCCGAAATGTTATGTCGAAAACATTAGAGAGAATGAGAAATTGTCAACTCAAGACATTATCAAGATGAGAAGGACTGTTTGTTTTGTATATATATAGAGAGAGAAAGAGAAACACAATGGTCAAAGTTGGCGGGCCACAGATGAAGGTTTTGATTCTAAGAGTATACTAAGAGCCGACATCCCGCTGTTTGGTGAATCCTTTCAAGTTCACCGCCATGGCAGCAGGAGGCGCAGCCCCGATATATTATTACCCAAAGTCATTAATGGTAAACTGCAATTCTCCTCTTTCTCTCAGTGATCAGGTTGTGGTAGAATATGTGAGAGGGGAAAAAAAAAAAAAATTATTCCTTCTCTTTCTCTTCAAGAACCTCTGTTTTCTCCGAGACCTGTAGAGTGCAATGTATTTGTATGATTGTATATATATATATGTTGCACTGTATATCGACACGTGGAATGGATTCTCAGCGATCCAATGATTCGGAACAAGCATGTACGCAACCGGGTGTGGATCCCTTGGGTACGTCTTGCTCGAGCAAACTATACGGCTCTTGACGTCCATTCGAACACTTCTCTTCCTCTCTCTCTCGCTCTCTCTCTCTCTCTTTCTCTCCTTCTCTCTCCCTCATCGAGAAGCTTCCGCGAGACCACAAGACTTCCTTATATACCAAGGATCCCCTAGTGTCTGATTCGTACTACTGCTGACGCTTCTCTCTTGTCCAACGTGTTAACACCTTTTTACTTTTCTCTCTCTCTCACTCTCTATCGAAAATGTTCTCTCAATCTCGTAGAAAATCCCACAATTGGCAAAAAAAGAAGAAAGAAATCTTCTTTGATTCGAGAAAATGTTCCCTTTTCAACGAGAATTACAATAGCTTTTATGATGATGAACAAACTATTCTTGTCACATTCAATAAATTTTTATATCTTTTCGAAAGGAGAAATTGAGTAAATTACAAAAAGAAAAACAAATATTTACCATATTATTCATCTAATAAGCCTTTTAAATCTAAATATTACCTTTATTATTGATCTAATAAGCTTTTTTAAATCCGAATATATCAAAGATAGTTTGTGGTTCAGTGGTTAGGTTATTGGACTCGTAGGCCTAGAGTCATGGGTTCAATTCCCGATGCCTGGGATTTTTTTTCGATTAAATAACTAAATAACAGCAATGTTTTAGATGATGATTAAAATAAAATTGCATTATTCTCGACTATAAAAGGAAAATTAAATGACATAATTGTTGATTTAGTTAAGTTTATGATTAATTAACAAAAGTTCTATTAATCACAAGGTGAATTAAATAATTTTTTTCTCTCTCTCGCTCTTTCTGTATGTTGCCGAGAGGCATACACTTGTTACTAAGTTGCCAGTCAACCTGCTACTTTCCAAAGTTTTTGATCTTCGTTACAAAGGCTTTGTGTAAGCGAGAGAGAAAGAGAAAGAGAGAGAGAGAGACTAAATATTACTTTGCTGCTGCTGTTGCTTCTTCTACAGTTGCGATTACTCACGATATTAACGTTCAGGGATTGGAATGCTTCCGGCGACATCTTTATTTTAACCATGTTGATGTCTGGATATTCTGAATGCCCAGCTTTGCAACTGACGTTACTTGCAATCGCAGCAGCTAAACTATTCGTCCTTCGGGTTACTTGATTCTCCCTTTTCCTCACTGCCCTCGTCTTTTAAAAAAAAAAAAAAAAAAAAAAAAAACTCGTTCTTCTTTGCTTATATATACCTATAGTCTCGATGCTCGTTAATTTCCAGCTCGTTAATACACGCTAAGCCACCTTGAAATGAATCGCCACCAATTACGTGTTCTCGATCTACTTTTAAGACTTCTTTACTCTAGAAATTCATTTTAATTACGTCCTAACCCTTCGGTGATCGATTGTCTTATAAATGAATATATTTAGAATTTACCATTTTAGAAAAATAGTTTGATAGAACGGAGAAAAACTATAGTATTGTATAGTTTTTTAAATTTTTGTTAAAGGGACATTAATTATTTTATTTATCAAAATTAAAGTAACAAAAGTAACTAAACTAACTGAACTAAGAAAGCAAACTAAACTAAATAAAGTAAACAAGATTAACAAAAATACTAAATGTAACTAAAGTAACAAAAATAACTGAACTGAGTAAATTAAACGAAAGTAACGAAAGTAACTAAAGCAAACAAAAATAAGTAAAGTGAATAAAGGCACAAAAATAACTGAACTAAGCAAATTAAAGTAAATAAATCAAACTAAAGTAACGAAAGTAACTAAAGTAATGAAAATAACTAAAATAATGAAAGTAACAAAATTAACTGAACTAAGAAAGTTAAATTAAACAAACTAATGTAACGAAAGTGACTAAAGAAAACTAAAGTAACTAAACAAAGTGGACTAAGCCAACTAAAGTAACCAAAGCAAACTAAAGTAAAGTAACTAAAGAAAACTAAAGTAATTAAAGTAACTAAAGTAACTAAACTAAAAAACAGAGATTACAATATTTTTCAAAAAATATCGTCCAATAAAATCATTGATAAATTATAAATAAACAATAATTATAATTATCAATAAATATATAATATTAATAAAATGGTTTTAATATTCATAATTTTTTTTATTTGTTTATTAATTTTTTTTATAAGTGTGAACACTGATGCGCGCTCTGTTTTCATTGCCTGCTCGCTTTTTGCATCGTTGAATACGTGTTAATTGTAAACTCTCGGATATATCATGAAACGACCCTCTTTTGTGGCACCTGAGTCTCTCTACACCCCTGTTTCCCTCGATCACAAAGATTACACGCGTGCACGCAGACGACGACAACGACGAGAAACAAGAATCCTCTCGAGTTCCTAACCGCGGTCTAAAACAGCATTGTAGCGCGTTCGTATGGAACTAATGAACTCATGGAGAATGACGACGACGACGACGCCGCCGGTGAACCTTTACAGAATTATTATAGACCTTTCTTTCCTTTTTCTATCCCCATATATATATATTAACTCTCATTATTTGTCCTGCGAGTCTTTAGCTTTCTTTTCCAAAAAAAATTAAATGCCAGCCATAATTTCAATTAACAAAGGCGAGGGGTCAATTAAAAAAATGTCTGACGACCTAGAGACATATATAATGAATTTAAAAATGAATCAATTTTTTAATCCTTTCTTTATTAGAACGCGAGTGAAAAAAAAGGAAATAATTAAAAATTTTAGAACAGTCTACCTAATGTGTGGAGAATAAAAAAAATTATATGCTACCATTTTTTTCCTCACGACGATATTTGCAAAATTATTTATTAAATTATTTACTCACACGATTATAATTTTAAACAAATTTGTATAAGGTATAACAAAAGCGACTCGCACACTGTATGTACCGCAGGTTTACTATTATATGCACTTCTTTTACAAACAGATGCAGCCTACCGAAAATTTTGTAATATCCAACATTTTAAGCTGAATCTCTCACTAATTTTGAATATTTTCCTATTCCCATATGCGTTGCAAAACATTTTACCCTCTAAAGCGCATATAATTCACAATGAAAAGATTTTCATTCAAACCGTTTTATGTATATATTTGCTTATAACACTGACCGAAATCTAATTGTTAATTTTTGTCCACAATGCAGATTTACACTTTTTTTCATGTATTATTTTCCCCTATTAATATTAATTATTCTTATTAGTATTTTAATTTATAAAAATATTAAATATTTATTATTAAATGAAATTAGCGATAAAATATGGTAATTAGCAAGATTTTTCTTCTCCTTTTTTTTTTGTAAGGATAAATGAATTAAGGAAGAAAATGGTGCAGTCATATATTGACTTGCGGATGAATTATACAGGTTGAGAGAGCCCGTTGAAAAGGGGTATTATAAATAACTAGAACAATTTTTAATGCGTTAATTTGTATGCAAATGAAGCCCGCGCTCAATGCGAGGGCATAAGAGAGAGCGAGAGAGAGAGAGAAAGATAGAGAGAGATTTTGCGGAATTATGTGGAAACTCAAGAGTTGTGGCTCAACAATCTGGGATTTTGGCCCCATTCAAATAGTCCACGAAGAAGAGCATGGGGAAGAGAAAGTCTTTGCGACATCTCATTCTCACCACCATCACCACCCACTCCACGATCCCTTTATCTTAATTCTATTACCGTTTTACAAGGCGGGAGAGTCTCTATCTCTCTCTCTCTCAGCGGGCAAACTCACTTTGCAAAATATATACCTAACCCCCTTTTGCCCCCCCCCCTCCTCCCTCCTGTGAACTACTCGACCTCCGAGCCGCGTCCAATTTCATACTTCCTTTGACAGTCTGAAAAGTCATCGCGTCCACACCGCGTTTCGAAAAGGAGCTTTTATCCCTCCCTATGAGCTATAAGAGAAAGAGAGGATAAGATCCATGAAAAGAGAGAAGAATCGAGAGATAAGTCCTTTATATAGTGACTCGCGACAACACAAGACGTTTATTTGCTTCGAAGTCCCTAATTATCCGCTTCGGAATGACTTGTTAGTTTTCCTATTACCCCGAAAAATATCCTTAGAGGGAAAGAGAGATTGAAACATGCTTTTAATTATAATGTAATAATTATTTTTCAATTCTAATTAAATATTTTAGAAATTAATTTTTTATACTTGTTATTTTACGTTTTTTGGGGAGGGGGGGTTAGGGGTAAAAGTAAGACAGACTTTCAAATTTTTTACAAATTTTAGTAGTTAAAACCAGCTTTAGTCAGACATTGAAAAATTCTATAAATTTTAGTAGCAGAAGCCTATTTCAGTCAGACGTCGAAATTATTTTAAATTTTAGTAGTAAAAGATAGTTTTAGTCAGACCTAGAAAATTTCTATAAATTTCAGTAGCAAAAGACAGTTTTAGTCAGACAAGTTTCAGTATTCCCTTGAAATTTAAATGTAAATTTAGTATTAGTAAAAAAAGAAAGTTACAGTCAGACTTAGAAGCTCTAAAAACCAGTTTCAGTCAGACAATATTTAAAGTTCTTAAAATTTTTGAATTAAAAAACCAAATTTGTTTTTATAAATAAATTTGTTTTAAATACAATTTTGTTGATATTAATAAATTTTTATGAATGCAAATTGCTAAACTTTATATATTAATTTATTTATAATGAAATAATTTAATGAAAAACAAGATTACGAAATTAATTGAGAAAACTATATATAATGAAGTTTTGCTTTTGCTTTTTGCAGAGAGGTACGACACAGCATACGCTTGCGAGAGCAAAACACTGCGGATAGAATGCCAAGAGGGAGATTTGATACACCTCATAAGGGCGAACTATGGAAGGTTCTCCATAACGATATGCAACGAACACGGGAACACTGATTGGAGTGTCAATTGCATGTCGCAAAAATCTTTTCGAGTCCTTTACAACAAGTAAGCTATATTATATATTTTCAAATTATTCTACTAAACTAAATAATAGCTAAACTACAAAAAGAAATTTTTTTTTTTAATTCTTTTTTAAATATAATGCTCAATCAAATCTCGAGGCGCTCTCCCAAAAGTCACAAATATTATTACAAATTAATAAAAAAACCTTAATTTATAATAATAAAAATTAAACTGCGTACTCTAATAATAATATTAATTTTTAACAAGATTATTAATAATAATCTTACTAGGAAATAAAATATTAATTACACCAAAAATGGTTAATTAAAATCTTATTTACTCTTTAATAAAAAAAAAATTACTAAGATATTCGACAGAATTGAAATATTTGTTCACTATAAGGGAAAAATTATTACTAATATATGAAGACATGGAAAAATATAAAATTAATTAAAATCTTACATCATTAGATAGGAAAAATTTCAATTAGAATATTAGAAAAAAAAAAATTATTCAAGAAATATTGATATAAAAATTTTTGCAATAAAAAAAAATATTAAGTGGAATTTATAAAATTAAAAATCATAATTCTCGGTCTAATTCATTAGTGAGGATAATAATAACGGTCTATAGTAAGGAAATATATTGTAACATAAAGTCTTATTTATATTGCAATTTACTTTTTATTACAATATAACTCGTAAAATGTATATGTATACATATGTTAGGTAACCACTTTCAAATATTTACAAGCAAGATCATCATTTTATTTTGCCGGCTTTTTATTAGTGTTCATTTGTAATTTTTACTAACCATGTACGTCAAAGAGGAAAAAATATCACAAGTTTCAGGTTTAATTTATAAATGTCAAATCAATTTTACAATTTTTTTTTTTACTAACAAATTAAATACAAGGAGAAAAAAATTTGTTAAATCTAGTAACCGGATTGTCAATATAGAACTAACAAATCTGGTTTGTAGTTTATACAAATTATTTTGTATTTTCAACAATTATTACTCACTTTAATCTCAATTAGAGTGAAAAAGTCATCTGCTAATTTAAATTAATGACAAACTAAAAACGAAAAAAATTATTCATTTTAGTATAATAAATTCAAATTTCCAAAATCAAATAAGACCATTAATAAAATTTAAATAACGAATAGTAATGATGATTTCGGCAAAATGGAATTCACTGCAAAGTCTAATTATGTTAATGAGCAATTGAGTGCGGTTTTAAACTAATAATAAATCTTGCATCTCTTAAGAGATAGGATATAGCAGCTCTTATCCTGAATTGCAGTAGAGAGTTTCGTGAATCAAGTGACTTTTGCTGAGCACGCCTAAAACGAGATTCGATCGATGCCATTTCCCCCTACATATATACTATAATACATATATATATAGTTAGAACTATCCCCTTGAAATCTCTCTACGATAAGAAATAAAGAGTAAGGATTGAGATGAAAAAAAAAAAAAAAAAAACAAGAAATGGAGTGGTGAAGCACACAGCTTCACGTGGTCCTGCGAACTGGCCAATCGCTTGACCATTGGAGCGTGTATTGGCAGTGGATCGGTTCAGGTAGAGAGAGAATCGCCGAGTCAGCGCTACTTCTCTATCCCTCCCGATCTGCTGCGAAATCCACTCTATTTCCTTCAATCTTTTCCAAACCGCTCACACCCTCAAAACCATTGTCCTCTCCTAACCTAATCTAGAATATACCTCTTTTCATTTCGTTTTTTTCTCTTTTATATATATATATACACATACCTTTCGTTAATTTTTCTTTATTTGATTTTTAGAAGCAGAAATTCCTCCTCGAGAGGTTGATCCCAGAAATTGGCAACGCCATTTTTATTTTCTGTAACAATACAACAATTTACTTTTTGTTAATAATTACAGTATTTTAATTATTATTTTAATTATATAAATTAGAAAATTTTAATTTCTGGTCTAGTTGTAAATTATTCCGCTCAAGTAAATTTTACATCGAGGGTTCAATTCCCATAGGGGATGAAGAAAAAAGAAAGAATTTTATCCACGAGATTTTAAAATGGCGTTGTCACATTTTTGGGAAAATTTTCCAGTTACAAGATTATTAATGTTTGCACATGCACGTGATTTACAATCGTCGAAAGAGTAAAAAAAAAAAGAAAAAGTAAAAACGATCAGGACTATTTATGATTGACTTCTTTTTTTTTAAGAGAAAAGTTCCCGAAACTCACTCTCTTTGGATGAGAAATGTTCGGATAAAAAAACAATCTCTTTTTATCCTTTCTTACAAAATTGGAAAGCAAACGGTCAAAAATTTAAGAGAAAAAAAAACCGAAAATAATATTCAAAAATTTTAAATTAACATCAAAATTAATAACAAACAATATTTCATAACGAAAGAACATTTTTGCGAAACTCGAAAAAAAGTAGATCAAGCTAAAAGAAAAAAAAAACTAAATTTCAAGCTTTTTAATTAAATGAATTTTTACGTATACTTTATCATCGATTTAATCTTTGTTCATTTAAAGAAATTAGAAAATTTAAAAAAGAAAAAAGATTTTTTTGCTGAATTGACAAAAAAGGCGAACAATAATATTCTTTTCTTCGCCTCTTTTGGTATATATATGTATATAGAAAAAGGTCGCGTAAAAATGATAATCTTGTAAAGTTGGATTATTATGCAGAAGGGTACAATTTAAGAAAAAAAGTATTTAAAAAGTTTCATAGAGCGCGCGACTCGTGCCACGAGTTTACGAGAGACGTCGCAAAATAACTTTTGAATAAACTTTTTTGCATCGAGAGAAAACTTCACAACTCGCTGTTTGATCGTCTCGCGAAAATATGTACACCGTGAATTACTGGATTTGTAAAAATATGTCTCTCGCGATAAAAAAAAAAAAAAAAGAAAGAAAGAAATTCAAAGATCAAATAAGTGACTGAATTTTTCTCTTTTTTCTCCCCAAAAAAAAAGTCAACACAGTATCCTGATTGGTATTCTTTTTTTCCGATGTAAATCACGTGTACAATAAATAAATTTTTCATACAGGAATTTTAATAAAGAATCTTATATAAGAGAAAATCAATATTATAGTTATATGTGTTCAATTTATTTTTTTTTTTTTAAATATTTTTTTTGAACAAAAAATTTGTAGAAATATTTAGTCAATACATTTTTCTACATATTTTATTATTTTTCCTCGTATAAGTAATATAGTAAAGTAAAATTTCAATAATCGTATGAAATTTTCTTTTTTTTTTTTTTTGTTATTCTTTTAATAATTCCAGCATGAAAAATTTCCTTTTTTCCTCTGACTAGTTATTATTTTTTTTTACTGATTGTTATTATTTTTGGTTATTAAAATTTTTTGTGATTTAAATAAAATTTTAATTGATTGTCAGAATTTCTAGAAAGAGTTTTCCCTTTTTAATAAATGTAAATTTATGTATTGAAAGAAAATCAATAACTTTTATATATATTTAATTAGATATATTTTAATTAGTTTAAATAGTATTCAATATACATGTATGATATAAATTATTAATTTCATCTGACATAATAATTCATTATTATTTATAATAATATTTAATTTAATAAGGTGAAATTAAGTAAAATTAATTAATAATTAATATTATGTCAGATGAAATTAATAATTTGTAAATTTAATAAACTCTTTCTCGAATTTCTATTAATTTTTTTTTTGTACTATTTTGCGTGGAATGAACAGTATAGTGTCTCGTCGTTATTGGGAAATTTTTTAGAACATGATTTGTAGAAAAGGTAAAATCGTTGAGATGAAAAATTATTTTCGAAACGATTGACTGTAATTTTTTTTTTTTATAACTTTGCATCTTTTTCGTTACTTCTTGTCAATTGCATGCTTTTAGATTTTTCATTAATCTTATTTTCATTATTTCTCTGTAGATTTTAATACATGCATGAATTATTTAATAATATTTATATTTGTATACTTTCTATATTTTTTTTAAATATTATCGAAAAACACAATTAAAAAAAAAAAAATTTTAACGCTTGCAAATCTTGAAATTAATTTAAAACTGATAAATAACATTTATAATATTTGTGATAATTATTAATTTCAAAAATATTAGTATATCTAACATTCCGCGTTGTATTTTTATTTTCTCGTATAATTTTTCTAAGAGACAAACATACCGCAGATATTTTTTTTCCACACACAAGAAAAAGGACAAAAATGTTGTGTAGCGAGTTTCTCGATATAAATTGTTTTAACTTTTTATTTTTTCACTCCATTTTTTGTTTATTTAAAATGCCTGTAATCTTTATATCTATGAATGAAATTAATCATCGTTATAAACAGCAAATAACTTGCAGTTAATTAATTTAATGGCAATATTAATCCACAAGCTAAAAATTCATTACATTGAATGTTCTCACATACACGCAAATATACTTTTCATCTCATATATATATACAAATTTTTAATTTTTTAGTTTTTTTTTAAGTTTTATTTTAAATATCTTTTGTATAACTTCGTATACAATTCGTAGACATTTTTTTAAAACATTTTTTAAAAAATTAATTTTCTAAATTGTATTTTTTTTTTTAAATTTCTTTTTACATTTCGTTAAAAAAAAATAACATTTTCATTGTGTTATAGTTTTTCCATATCTCCCATACGCAATTAAACCTAATCCTAAAATTTTCCTACGTAAAAAAATTTAATTAACAAAAATATAACAAGTCCAAGTTTTCTCTCTCGGTTTTTTTTTCAAAAATTGTTTTAAATTCTTGTGAAATATTTTTATGCTTTAGATGCAAAAAAAAAAATGATTAAATGTTACAAAAATAAAATAAATATTTTAATATCAACAAATATTAATTTAAATCACATTATTTGAATAATTTTCTCCCCTGCATGAAAAAAAAAATAATAAATTGTAATTTCTTAAAATTTTTGTCATTAAAAAAAAATGAATAAATTTTCTTGTTAGTATAGTAATAATATAAACCAATGATTTCTAGTAATTTTAAACCCGTGAGAAGATCACGTATAAAAATGAAAATTTGTAACACACAAACAAGCATTGCATTTTTCTCCTCGCTTTAACGTCTTACTGAAACTCGTTTAATCCCACTGGGATTAAACGAAAGGGACTTTGTAGCTGACGCATAAAAGTATTCCAATCACGAACAAGCGCGGATAGTGAATACACGAGGAATATTTTACTCGAAGGAAAAAAAGGGATGCTGTAAAGAGAGAAATGCAAAACTGGAAATAATGAATCCCAGTCAATGGTTGAAAAACTTGGACTCTTTATATCGAACAAAAATATATAAAATTCCGCGAATCCTTACTCCCAATATCAAAATATTAATATCCAAAAAAAAAAAAAAAAATGTTGCTCTCAAAAAAATAAAAATTTGCATGCTTTTTACCATATTTTATATTATAAATATAAAATTAAAGAAATGTCACAGTTACGATTTTTTTTTAAATTTCTTTATAATGACATTATGATGTATTAACAAATGGCCAGTCGAAAAATTCATCATAATGTTTCACTTTTGCCTTTTTTGTCATCATGAAAATTAATTATTCCCGACATTAAATCACAATAATCGTAATTGTGACAAATCTTTAAATAAAAACCACATGGGATTAAAAAAAAAAAGTATTAAAAGCTTTCAACCATTTTTAATGATTAATATATTCTATTTTTAATTTCACATATACAATAAAAGTGGTTGAAAATTTAAAAAATCGGTTTCATTTACTATTTTTAAAAAAATGATCTCTTTGAGACAATTTTTAATTGTCATATATATCACACCAGACTTTATAAAAATGACATTTTTATTCAATTATCCTCTGTTCTTATTTTAAATATAAATTTGAATATCGCACAAAAAAAAAGAAATATTTTTTCATTTCATTTAATTTACTCGACAAAAATATATAAATTATTCGGTTATTTTCAGCGAAAAAGATGTAATTTTTTATTAAAATTGAATTTTCAAAAAAAAAGAATGAGTATTAAAAATTTTCAACTAATAAAATGTCATTTTACATTGAAAAATTATATACTGTAAATTTAACCGATTTTCTTCTTTCTGCTATCTTTATTCTCTTAAAGAAAGAGAGATATTTATGAATAATTGAAAGTTACTATTTCATTTTGTAATGAAAATAAAATATATCTATTCTATAATTGAAATGGAAAAAAAACTTGAATTACAAAATAAATTATTAAATCGAATGTCCTAGATTGAGGTGGTAATATTTAGTATAAAACTTTATATTGAAATGGATTATGAATTTTTGAAAGGACGCTAAAAATATGCCAATCTATCTGACATTATTTCTATATAAATTTTTAAGGCATGTCGTGTAAAAAAAATGACAAACCGTCCATTACGTTGATGAACATCCAATTTTTGTATATGTACTAAAAAGTGACGAGGTGTTTTCAATATATATATTTTTTTTTTTCACACTACATCAAAAGTTATTTATCACAAGAGCTTTTTAAGGAGATTATGATCAATTATATGAAAACATTTCTTCTTCTTTTTCAATTAAATTTCAAATATTTTTTTAATAAAATTAAATATTTTGAAAATAAATAATAATTATATTTCAATTAAATATTAATGTAATAATTTTATAAATTTGTTTTTTAAATTTTTCGGAAAAAAAACTGAAAATCGATTTACTCAATTTATTTTTACAAAACGAAAGTCAAAGTTTATTTTTTCAAATTGTAAAATAAATAACTGAGCAATTAGTGAAAAATTCCTTCTTTTCGAGAAAAAAGATAGCAGAAAAAAAATAAAAAGGACAATTGCTCCGCATTACGTGCTTTAAAAAAAAAAAGAAAATAAAA